TTCCCAGCTCGTTGCAGCATCGTGGAAGCGTCGAATTATCATTGCCACGACACTCGGAAAGTGTACGAGGAGACAGGTCGATTACATTCATAAAGGCGATCCATGGCAAACAATAAAATGGTGGAGGGTCGGATCGATAGTGTCTTTGAGCAATGACGTCATAGAGCGCGAGAAATCCGAGAAGCAAGCGAATGCAAAGCGTCGTCTCGTGCTCTCCAGTATAATGTTATCTCCTAATAAGGTCGTTTATATTTATATTCAGTGCCGGAGCGGCTTTTATAGCGCACGGGGATGTGCGTGCGACAGGAGGGATGTATTCCACTTTATTCTTCGGTCTCTTGGTGGACGGCGAGACACGGGCTCTGGCCGCGCCAAAATGTAGCGGGAATAGAGGAATGCGATGTCGAGGCTTTTTCGGCTTTCCCTAGCGAGCAGGACTATTTCCTATCTGCGTGCCGCCCCTTTTACGCTCACGATTTTCCTTTTACCCGACTGTGGAGTATAGACTCTCCGACTTGTCTATCATTACGCCAATAATGTCCTGATAATATTTCACGGTACGGTCTAATGCTGCGACAGTGAACTGTTCTCCGGAATTACAAAGAACGACGCAATTTACTATTCCCATTATATATATATATATATATATATATATATTTATATGTATATATAATTAATTTGTTTTTTTCTCTTCATTTTTTCATTATTTTGATATTATTATATAGCGTAAGAAGCATAGTTAAATAAAACGTGTATTTTTTTTCCTTCATAAATGAAATTTCAACTAGATAACATTAGGGATCTTTATATCAATTTAACATAATTTTACATAAAGATTAATTATATAATATATATATATATATATATATATATATATATATATATATATATAATATGTTCGAGATATTCTAACACAAAATTAACGGACAATGCAGGATGAATCGATTAAAAGAATATTTTCAATTTTATGAATACACACGTTTCTTAATATCTGAGATCACTGACATCTTTATAAAATAAAAGCCCGATTAATTTTATGATATTTATAAGTAAAATAATTAATTCTTACGAATTATTAAAAAATACAATAAGAATTATTGCACATCGAAGAAATTTAATTAAACGTGCAATAATGTATGGTTTATCAGCACTTGTGATTTCTTGAAAAGTCATATACTTTTAAAGGCTTCTACGCTTCGCTACGAGACAATTTTCCAAAAATAAGGGCCTAATGTTTCATCGTCTCAGTGTAAAAGGGGCACAGGAATGGTCGCGCGGGGTTAGTAGCAGCGGCATTCTACAAGAAATTTCTTGCATGCGTGTGCGCGGGCGTCGTGTGGCGGATTCGCGCGAGAGCCCGTAAAGTGACCCCAACGCTGCTCTGGCATCCCCAATGTCGAGTTCGCCTCTCCCCCTTTGAGAGAAGGAAGGATAGAGGTGACGGGGGTAGGAGGGTCGCCGGCTCGGGGAAAATTATTGCTCTCCTTATACATTCGTCGGTTCCGATCGTGGGCATGGCGAATAATTCGATCCCAGCGAATTCGAGCGAAATCGAAGTCGACGCACGACGACGATATGGGCTTCCTCATTTCTGTGTGTGCCTGAGTGAGTGAGTAAGAGAGGGAGCGGGCGAGGGATTACGTATGTGTTCGAGAGTTGGAATATCGGAGAATGTAATGTGTAGAGCGAGGAAGTGGATGGGTGGTGCGTATGGGAAAGTAGCTTTATATTATTGTAAGAAGTTTTCTTTTCGATGGATTGACATAACATAAATCTAATTTTACGGTAGTTTATATTTGACGTTGCATTCTAATCGAAGTTAAACATTTAAACATTTATTTACGATAAAAATGTAAAAATGTGTAATGTAAGGTGTAGATACCCCTGTAATAATAATAATAATAACAACAACAACAACAACAACAACAACAACAACAACAACAATAATAATAATAATAATTAGTATTTCAAAAGTGCGTATAAATTTTAATTAGAAAATTAGATTATCAATGCTAAACGTCAATATTATTTATCATGTTGATATGGATATTATGCAATGTGGAAATGTGTATTATATAAATTCTTATACATCTTTCACATTTCATATCATTATACAGACTCTATAATATATTTTCTTTTTATGAGTCATCAATTATTTTGAATGAAAATGTCAAAGTTACGATAGAAACCAATTAATGGCTAAGAGTCTGTAAACGAATTTATTTATAAATATTGCATCTAGAATATGAAAAATTACAAGAAAATGTAATGAATGCAAATGAATACGATTAAGTATTTTTAAATTATATAATTTATAAAGTTATAATTAATTTTGATGACTTTTTAATTTATTTGTGTAATTATAATCGTATATACATAATAATAATAATAATAATAATAATAATAATAATAATAATAATGTAACAAATATAAAAAAAGCCTTTAACTAAAAAAATTAATTTCAGTGATATATTATTATTCAAAAAAATTGAATGATATCGTAATGAGAATTTATTACGTGATAAGAAACTTTTATTACGCAAAAATATTCCAAGAAATATATACGTTAAACAAATGCAAATATACGTTTAGCAATCGGTAGAAATCATTTGACGTAACAATTCATAATAACACTGTAATGTACGATGAACAATATAAGATTAAAAAATTAGCAAATTTTAAGTTCACAGCTTCTTCAATAATTTACTCCTTTGGCATTATATTAATTATATATCATTTATTTAAATATTACAAAAAGAAGTTTTGTAAACAAAGATTAATTACTTTGATTTCTTGGGTAATACATTTTTATAAGATTAATTCTTTAATAACGTATTTTTAAATACATAATATGACATAAGCGGTCTTAATTAAAATTGAAAAATATATATAAGAGAACATCGGGATTTAAAATGAATAAATGTATCAACTTTTTGTTAAATAATGATTAATAATGTGTATTTCAGTTAATAAATTACGATAAAGTTTTTTTGTGTGAAACAAAAGTATTTCATGCACGTTAGGACGTATTTTTAGATAATTAAATTTACAATATTTTTCTTATCTATACATGTTTTATATAGTATTTTATATAGTAAATTCACGTAGAAATAATTTTAGCGAATGTAAGAAATATTTCCAGTTTACATGGCACTTTTATATTCGAATTTGTTTCTCTCATCTCATCGACGTATACATATTTAAGTATTTGGATATTTGTTTAATAATTTTTCGTAAGAAATATATATATATATATATCATTGTTAATAGATATTCCATCGAGGTGCACATTTATATGCCATATTTATAAAAATATGCCTGTTACCGAATTGTCTTATATCGTGATACACTTAATAAATATTTTCCTGCGTAAATAGTAATTTCTACAATGCATATAGAACGGCATAGTTGAGCGCGAAAAGCATATAAGATAAATAGAGAAACAGAGAGAAAGGGAAGTAAGAGCAATGTCAGCGCATACGTACGGCTTCTTTTGCCAAAATGAAATGAGAAATCGTCAATGAGGCGGATTTTTCTTTCCTTTAAGCACGAGGATTGGTTACGTGTTTTTGTGATTGTTCGTACATGTGTGGGTGCGCTATGCATGTTGCTTACGATATTTTTATATTTTTTCGAAACTACGCAGAAAATGAAATTTGATTGAATCTGTCAATGCCAATGTACAATTTTGAATAATAAATATCAATTCTTACCGTATGCTGTGAAAAAGTTAAGGACCTTATGGATATGGCTGCATATATATATATATATATATATATATATACATATATTTGAATTGACCAGCGACCCGCCGAATTGTTAGTTTCGAAGAGAAGAAGCTTAGCATTCGAACGAGTGCAAGATACAATCGAGAGCTTTCAAAATAATTGCTAGGCTAATTTTTTGTTATTGCAAATTGACTTATTAGGAGCTACTTTCGCAAGCTAATATTATTAAAATATGCAGAATCTAATATTAGCTTAAAAATTATAAACGAATTATTAATTTATTTTAATTTTAATTACGAAAACTTCAAGAAACGTGATTGTAAAATTACTCAACAAAATTTACATGAATTATAAGAATATACATTATTTACGTGGACATTGTTGAATTGTATTTTTTTAATACATAATTTATTGTATATAATGCTTTTCTACAAGAATATCAAATACTAAATATACATGCTCATTTCATCTCGAAATTCTGATATTTACTATTGGAATTATCAGGCTACTCATCTTTACTTCTTTATTAATTTATTATAAACGATCGTTAAGATTTTATTATTATATTATATATTATAATTATTTTTCCATTTAATTATTCTTAATGTAACGATTTGTAAGCTAGTTAATTGTTAGCCATTTTTATTATAGAATATTGTAATCGATATTAATTTGGTGCATTTTAATCATAGTAAACAAACGAAATTTTAATCCTCATTTATTCTACTGTATTTAATTAAATTGATGCAAAATACTGAAAACGAATAATTTTCATATATACGGGCGCACACTGGCATATAAAAGTATTTACAAATATGCATAAGATGCAATATAACTACAAAATGACTTAATAAATAATCATTTATTATATATATATTTATTATATGTACATATTGAATGTACGCGCGCACAAAACATATGATTTGAATTTACATTAATATATAAGAAAGAATTATGTAATAATAATAGTAACAACAACAACAACAACAATAACAACAACAACAATAATAATAATAATAGGCTAAAAGAAAAAAAAAATTAAAAAAAAATAAATAAATGAAAATATTTATGCGTAGATGTCATAAAATACAATTAATTTTGTATAATTATAATGATTATAATTTACAAGTTTATCTTATTATTTCAATTCTAATGTATAATAATTCTAATGCTTCGAAGCTATAATCAGTGGATAAGTAAATAAAATGACACAAATCTTTGCAGAGAATATTTATAAAGTTTTAATATGCAACATAAATAATATGAGTAATAATTATTGACTGAATTATATATTCTGCAAATGTTTTAAAGAATTTTGATATTTGAGATACCGGTATCCTTGTGTGAGCTGGGCGCTTAAATTGACAACGTGACAAGCAAAAAGCAGCATATTCTTGGGCTGTACTCTAACGGAAAATCTTAGAAAAGCCATCGAATAAAACGTAAGGGCTAGAATAAACAATTTGCAGGAATTCTTTTAATTTCATGTTTTTCTTCTCCATAATATAGAAAAATATATTATTAAAAGCATCGAGCAAAATACTCACCTAAGGTCATTTTTCCACTGATGGTTGTAGGATCTTTTTGCGTATCATAAATGGCAGCAATTGGAATGGACCAATTGCAAAGTGGCCCCCAAAAATTCGTACTGCGTAGTAAATCAGTATTTGTCGAGAGAAAGAAAAAATAAATAAATAAAATAAATAAATAAATAAATAATATAAATACAAAATCTTATATCTATTAAATATTAGTACTAAATCAATAGCTACAATTAACTCATTAGTGTACGTAATTTTGACGATAAATATATCAATATTATTCGTTTAATATTATAAAATTCCTTCAGACATAGAAGGTGCATTACTTTGTAATTTAAATAGCTAAATAATATTTGCGCATAAACATAGTTTTCGTGTATTACAACAAACCTCATAAAGTAGTCTTTGTTTTCCTTGGTTCTGAGGAACTGTTTTAGTCGAGTTGCCATTGTGCCCGAGAATTTACGAAGAAAAAGAAGATAACGAGCATGAAAAACGTAATAATCAAATTGCAAATGTAATACTTAATTTCATATCATTTTGCAATATAGAAACTTTGAATATAGAAAATTTCAATATAGAAAATTTCATTTGCAAACAATATTTATATTTGGAATAATTCTCGTCCTATTTATTAAATCCTCTTTCGCACACATAAACGAACTTGCGTTAAAAACTTATTCACACGCGATAATGAAACGAGTCTAGATTTCTCTATGTTTTTAAAGTGCAAGTTACACATGACTTTGCTCGCTTGAGATAAAATGTTATCTTTAAAGTAGTGGGTTTTAATCCCAGATTAACGACTCCTATTTCCAATGAGGAATTAAACTGTTTTGTCGAATTTTCAATAGAATTTTATCGGCAAAATAACGCACGATTCATGAGAGACACGTGGCCATTAGCGTAAGTTCAATATATAAGTAAATAATTGTCTTAAACCAAAAGTTGCAAATATTTCACAAACTTTCCATTGTCATCTTCTTCTGACATTCTTCTTATATAATGAATTATAATTAAACACGAAGGGAACTTTATATTTTAATGTCTTTATTGCTGGACGACTGCTTCGTGACTATGCTATTTACTTCAGTTCGCTGCTTTTCATACTTTGTGATTACTATAATTTTATTTTTATAATCACGAGCTCTATAGTCCCCACCATTACAGACTTAATTAATGCATTATATAGCGCAAAGAGAGCAAATTAAATTGTATAATAAGAATAGTAATGATAAATAATAAAAGACATTTGTTACGAAATCAGTTTGACAAATGAGTTTGGAAGAGTAAATTCGATTTGATGTTTCATTTTTTTTTTTCCTTTTTAAATCCATATTTAATTAATCGCAACACTTTATTATAATTGTGATATTTACATATTATAAGCATTATCTGGGCATATCAATGTATAATTTAATAAAAAAAAAAAAAAAAAAAAAAAAAAAAAAAAAAAAAAAAAAAACAAATACTATTTTCTTACGTACTATTTAGTTCATGATCAATATCAATATGCGATTGTCATTTTTACAAGAAATTATGCTTTTTTTTTTTTTTTTTTACAAAAAACAAAGTCTTAAGCGGAGAAAACAGATAAATTCAAAGTGCTTTCGGTATGCATTAAGAAACTATCGGTATTTGATTAATTTCTATTATTATCGATGATGACATATCTTATAAATTCACATTTCTTACGATGTCAATACATTTTACCTATACAATTTACGCATATAATTTCGAAAGATCTACCGTACTGGATTTTTACTTCTTTTAATTAACGACAATGACAAAGACCTTAGTATACTCAAATTTGAAAGATTTGCATTTGGAATTATAAGTAAAACAAGGGAGAAAGACAACAAACAATAAAGAGCACAGACTCTTGTTATAACGTGGAAAGATTCGTCGATCTCGTCTTTTTTACTCTTTTTTTTTCCCCCACCCCCCGTCTCATCCGTCATGTTGCTTTGACGGATTTACATACATAACAGTTTACACACATAATTTATCAGCGCGAATACAAAGGCCCCTTTACCAATACTTTTTTTTCTTTTCTTTTTTTTTTTTAGCATGGAAGACCCTCGACGATGAATTTCGTAATGAATGCACAGGTTATTATTTTGCACGCATAATATTGATGGCACTATGAATGTCTGGTAGGTACGTAGTAGAACGGACTATGCGAGTGGGGCACAGATGGTAGTGGTGGTGGGGTGAGCCGAGCGTCTATGTAAGCGTAGTGTCAAAGGCGCACGCGCAGATCTACCAACGGGGTGGTATTATTGATCCGGTTAAGGGGTGGAAATGGACGCCAAAAGTAACCCCTCCATACTTCAATTGCGTGCAGCGGCTTTCTCCCTTCCTCTCGTCCCGCTATCTTTCGCCCTCATGCGCGCGCGCTCGAGCGCACATAAATTTATACACACATACACGCGCACGCATTCTCTCTGCTCGTACTTCTTCGTGCTGAACATTCTCGACAACCTAATTTTCAATGGAAAATTCTCCATTTTTAATGGCTTTTATACATTATCCAATGCCACTACTCGTCGCTCTCATATAGATCGTATAATAGAGGAAAGCACGTGTGCAACGTAGAAAATGGACGAGATAAGCGATGCAATGAGAAAGTTTTCTTTGCTATTCTTAAGATCTCATTGTTAAAACTTATTGTAGTATCTTATAAATCTATCATCTACTTATATAAACATAATTAATAGTAAGACGTGGACGATTAATTTATTTAATTAAAATTATGAATATCATCATTTTTCTTGTATGTTCGTTGTATATTTATCTTACTTTTTCTTCACTGAGAATTAATAATGATATTAAGCGAGAAAAGTGGCAACGAGCTTAAACATAATATCGCTTTATAATCTAAAGTTACTGAAACGCGCCATTAACATCGTTATTGTTTTCAATCTAAGCAGTGGCTCTTTTCGAAAAACATAAGTAAAAATGGCGGTAGTCGGGCCAGGATGCAAGACCAAAGCCCAGCCTACCTCCACAATTGCAATATCTTTGTATTTTCATTTCTACGTGTTTCCCTGAAATATCGGAGCGCCCATCATTGAGAGGTGAAAATTTCTAATAATCAAGGCCGCGTATCCCTCGTTTTCCACGGTAAGGGGGAAGTCGCAAAGTTACGATCCATCCCCGAGAGTAGTTCGGCTCGCATCCCCTGCATATGCATTCACCGGCAGCTCAGCACGACGAGATCGTTTTTCTCCCGTTCTCGGGAAGCAAATCCTCGCCAGTCCCCCGAGCGACTACTACGACGGGCTCCCCCGGGCACCCGGAGCCACTCAGGGGTATTGCTACTACTTTCACATTAACCACATTCTATACCTATATCTGCTCAAGCTTATGGGAACTTGCGTGGATTCGGGTGTATGCTCTTCCATGTATACGAGCGAATTCGAATTATAAATTGTAATGTCGCGAGAGGGATACGTGATTGATCCGGAAACTCGTTCTTTCGATGCGAAAGAATTTCTACGATCATTTCTCTTGAAGCCAAAGCTGCGCACTACATCTTTTTATACTAATCAATTAAACGAATGCTCAAATATTAATATTTTATTTCCGGGTGTTGAATTTTCTTTCTCTTGCACGTGAGTAGTCTTTCCTTAAATGAGTCTTTTATTTTTGAGAACAGCCATTGACAACTGTCGTTGTTGTTGATCGATTATCAATGATAAATGGATAAGATTTCACTATTAACATGGGATATTTATGGAGAATCCAAAGTTAAATGAAAGTATTACAAATATATATATATATATATATATATATATATATGTATATGTATATGTATATATGTATGATGAATTGAAACGAGTCACAATTTTTATTTTTATTTTGTACGAATGACTCGGTGTTTCTCTGTAATAAATATCTATTTAACGTGCACATTTTAATAAAAATAGGTAGAAAATTGATTTTAATGTATATAATTAGAAAAATTAATGTCAAAATAAAAAATTTTACATTTAAACGGCAAGAAATGCTTTATACTACTGAATGAAAATGTTTGAATATCATCGGAGATATAAAACTTTTATAAATCTACGTACTTTTATATTACAATTTAAGACACTTTTATTTATTTATATACAGTAAGTCATCTTTCGTCATTTTTATATTATATTTTAATCTATTATATAATCAATAATTCATTAACGTTAAATATTTATTGCAAATTAATCTGTATTAATAAAAGTTATAATAATTTATATTATTCGAAAGGGAGTGATCGATCGCATGTTAGAAGTAATTATTGTCCGTTTTGTGCGAAGAAAGAAATTATTTTTCAATATTTATCGATGATAATTATCTTCGGGCATATCGCAATACCCATAGTCTTTATCATTTAATAAAAATTTCTAAAAACAGATCGGACTTATCGTTGCAATATCATTTCTACTCGTTTAGATTTTAAAGCGTATGAAAATCTAATATTTGCCATTGTCGTTTTATGGGGGTGATTTAAAATAGATGGGGAAATGATTACTTTAGGATCACAAAATGCACTTAATATCCCCAAATGCTCTTGTATTTGAAATTTAGTGGTTCTAGCATTGGAACTATCCGCTTTCGCGTTCCTGAAAATTCGTTTTCTCTCCGCACGATGATCTTCATTACATGTAAACGGCTTTGAAATTCCTGTTTGTATTCAGGGGCGTGCGACGACCTCGACATCGCGTTCTTTGAAGTCTAGTGCTGACGTGCCAGGTCGATCCCCCTTCCGAATACTCTGTCGAAGGGACGATCTGAATGTGTCTTTCGTATTTGCCAAAAGCTACCCTCGCGTCAATCTGCCTTTTTCCCCCCTTACTCTTCATTTTCCTTTATGTAAACTTTCTCGTTCGTTTAGCTTTCTTTACGTTTTTTCGACCTTATCTCGTATCTATCCCGACCGATGCTTTAAAGCTATTTTCTCTTGCTGCTTTTATTCGAATCGTCGTGTTTTCTTATATCTTTTCTTATCTGCTGGACACTTCAGATTTAAATGTTGGATGGGGAAAGATAGTTGAATTGTTGTAGAGGACGAACATTTTGTGAATGCCGCAAATCCTAAGAATTTCATCCATATGAATCGGAACTTTATCGAATGAATTAACGATTTATTATGTATGAAATAATTTGTAAATACGAGAAACATTAATTTTTATATAATCGTACAAACGTTTTGTGTGTGTGTGTGTGTGTGCGTGTGTGCGTGTGTGTGTGTGTGTGTGTGCGCGCGCGTGTGTGTGTGTATATATATATATATATCGCGTGATGTTTAATAACGCGAGAGTGGTTATTATTCCTGAATGACATTATCAACTCATAGCTTTCTGCAAATATTTATCAAGCATATTGGAAAATAAAGGAAAATTACAGTAGGAAAGCGTCGATGAAAATGCTTGCAATGTAACTCCATCGCTCAATGTAATCACCGTTCAATCATCATGTCTCGTATTAGTTGAGGTACAATATATTTCTTATTT